AGGGGATTTTAATGTAAGATGGGACTTAGATAGGGACTGGGGAAGAAAAAAGTTAAAAGAAATTACTGATTATTTAGGGATGGAACAGCTAGTAAAAGAGCCTACAAGAATAGTGAAAAATTCGTCTTCAAAAATTGATTTATTATTTCAATGGGGGATTTCCAGTTTAAGACCAATAGGAGCGGGAGTTCCACAGGGTTCCTGTCTATCCCCCCTCCTCTATTCTCTCTTTACATCGGACATCCCACAGCCGAGAGGAGAAGGGAAGATGGGAATCTATGCCGACGATACGCTCGTGATGGATTCATCCAAGAGTTATAGGGAGGCACGACAAAATGTCCAATTACATCTAAATAAAATTGATAGATGGACAACAAACGATAAAATAAAACTCAATGCTACAAAATCCATTGAAGTAGTTTTTACAAATAGAAAATTCATCCACAAACCCCTACACTTGGGAGAAAATATAATTCCAAGGGAAAAAGTTTCTAAATATTTGGGATTACACCTGGATTCCAAGCTCAGATGGAAAGAACATATTAAAAAAAAAGTAGCACAAGTAAAACTCAAATTTCTAAACATGTTTTGGCTACTTGGGAAAAAATCAAAATTAGATTTAAGGTTAAAACTTTTACTCTACAAATCGATGTTGAGGCCGATATGGAGCTATGGCTGCCAATTGTGGGGTTGCGCAGCCGTAACAAACCTCAACCAAATCGAAATTATCCAAATGAAAATCTTAAGAAACATTGCTAAAGCACGCTGGTATGAGAGGAACGTAGATATAAGAGCCGACCTCAACATCGATTCAGTAGAGGATTATATCACTAAATTATATACCTCTTATGAAAACCGACTACATAATCACCCAAACCCAGAAGCCCTCGCCTTACTGGAAAAAAGTGAAAATGTGAGAAGACTAAAACGAAGGAAAACCTTTGAGCTTGGAATCCAGGGTTTTTCAAAACTTTTCCCATAATCAACCTCACGTGCCTCCTTATGATCCTTGGACATATCAGGAGTAACTAGGTCTTTGGACGGGTAGCCCGTCGTAACCCAAATAAATCAAAAAGACATTCATATTCTGTAATAAAAATGTTTTATCATTTCACACACCTGTTATAAATTTAGGTAGTTATTAAGTTAAAATCAATAACAACTTAGTATAATTTAGCCACTAAGATTTAAAATAAGCTGTTAAAAGACTCAAGTAAGTCTAATAGCAATTTCTTGTACATTGTTCTTTATTTTGTAAAAAAAAAAAAAAAAAAAAAAAAAAAATTTCAATGGGGGAGATTAGGGAAAGAATGCGAGTGCAAGGTAGTGCACGAGAGAAAAATTAGTGACCACAGTTGGGTAAAAGCTTTAGTGAGGGGGATAGTAGGGGTAAAAAGTAGATTAAATAAGAATTTGAAAAAAAGGGTTTTCGATAAAAATAAGTTTGCAGAATTGTTAGTCAAGTTAAATTTTGAGAGTAAGGAGGTAGAATTAGAAAAATTATACGGAGATAGGGGCAAAACAATATGTAACCACTAAGGAGAAAGTGATAAAGATCAGAAGGGTCAGATGGTGGGATGAAGAACTAAAAAAGTTGAGAGTAGACAGGGATAATGCTTATCGAAATTGGATAGAGGAAGAATCAGATGAGGGATGGAAAAGGTACAAGGTACTTAGAAACTTGTTTGTTAAGATTTATCGTAAGAAAAAGAGAAATTATTACGAAGAAAACATAAAAAAGAATGGTAGCATGGCAGAAAAACCTGGAGGATATTAAATGAATTATTAGGGTGAGGGAAGGAAATAGGGGATGGTAGTACAGTAGTGATTGATGGAGTAAAGAAAAAAGGGATTGGTGCTGCAAATGATTTAAATAAATTTTTCGTTGATGGTGTCAAAAGTCTTAGGGACTGTAATGATGTAAAATCAAGGGAATGTAATGAGGAAGATGAATGTATGAATGGAGATGAATATCCTCAAATTGATAAGGCGTGTTGGAAAGAATGGCGTCTGGCAGACTTGGAAGAAATTCAGGGACTGGTAAGTGTAATGAAAAATAGCAATAGTGAATATCCATTATGCAGTGTGGTAGCGAAGGAGATGACAGAATATTTTAGGAAGGTATTATTAGAGATCGTGAATAAGTCACTCACAGAAGGAATTATGCCAAAGAAATTAAAAATCGCTAGGGTTACTCCAATTAGGAAAATTGTGAATTCAGAAAAAGCTGAGAATCTAAGACCAATTAATTCATTGCCATTTATTGAGAAAGTGATAGAAGGGATTGTTGTAAAGAAATTAAATGAATACTTGTTAGAAAAGGGAACAATTGTTGACGAGCAGAGACGATTTAGGAAGAAGATGGGACCGGAGGAGTTGATACAGACATTGATAAAGAAATGGAGGGAAAGGGAAAAAAAGGGGAAAACTACAGTTGCAGTTTTTCTAGATTTAAAAAGGGCATTTGAAACTGTAAATAGGGCCATATTGATTACGAAGTTAAAAATGATAGGGATAGCGGATGAGGTTTTAAAGTGGTTTATGAATTATTATCTACAGGATAGGAGACAGAAAGTAGCGTGGGGTGAAAAACTGTCAGATGAAATGTGTGTAGAGCTGGGAGTACCCCAAGGGAGTAGATTAGGGCCTCTATTATTCTTAATTTATATAAATGACCTGAAGGAGGTGATGAAGGAGAGTGAATTGAGCCTTCTTGCTGATGATACGTTAGTCTTTAGTAGTGAAGGAGATATAGGGAAAGTGGCTAAATTAATTAGTAGAGACCTAAGAAGACTAGGGAAGTGGTTGGAAAAAAATTGGTTGGTTCTGAATGTACTGAAAACTAAATATATGGTATTTGAAGTAAGGCCTGGTACATGGTCGGGTAAGATAATGATAAAAAACTTTGAAATAGAAAGAGTTAGGGTGATGAAATATTTAGGGGTATGGATATCAGAAGATCTGAAAATGAAAGAACATATAGGGAAGGTGACTAAGGAGTATAGAGGTAAGATTAGTATGCTATGGAGGGTTAAGGATTTCATAGGGAAGGAGAGTAGGAAGTTAGTCTACAACTCACTAATTGGAGCAAAATTAAATTACTGCATTTCTCTTTTTGGAGAGGCAAGTAGTAAAGATATCAGAGATTTACAAAAGTGACAGAATTCGGCTATGAGATACATACTAGGGTGTGATAAGGGAAATAGAATAATTAATATGCTGGAGACCTTAGGCTGGCTATGCATAGAATTGTTGATAAAAGCCAGGGTTTTTATTTTTTTATATAAGACGAGGAAGGGACTGATTGATATAAGAGATAGGGAGTTATTGGAAATATTAGATAGGAGAAAGGGAAGAAATTTAAAGTTGAAATACAACGACGCTAGGGATGTAGACAGTATGCTATTCTTAAAGGGATTGAGAGATTATACATTGTTCGGTTGTGAGAAATGGGAGGAACTGCAATTGGGAGCTTTTAGAAATAAGGTATGGAATGAATTAATGAAATTCCAAAGAGATAACTGGGGGGAAGGTGAACTTCTACCAAGATGTTACAGGTGGAAGGAGTTTGGTCTATAGGGATTGGTAGGGGAATGGTTAAATATGGAATAACAGGTTAGGGATTGGCTCAAGCTGGTTTACGAGCAGATGGGATTAGCCCTTGAGGGCTAGTTAAAGGGGAAAAAAAAAATAAACAATTTAAATGATTTTTCAGAAATTAACAGTTTCCTTCGCTAACATATTTCTTTTTTGAAATAGGAAATATTTGAAAAATAAGTAGAGTACCTGTATTTTTGAGCTTTGAAGTGATAGATTTTGAGATCAGTAAGTAGGTAGGTAATTTACTTTTTCTTGAATCTGAGAGAAAATGTTTCAAAATGAAAGAGTAAGGATTTTTTAAGTGTAAGTGTAAGAGAAGACGAGAAGAGAAGAACTAAGAAGAGACAGCGCTCCACTTGGTCTAATTGACGAATATTATTCCGTTTAAAAATAAAAACAAATTCTGTTAGAAAAAACAAGCATTTTTGACATTTTGTCGGTCGATAGAAATTTCATGGGGAAAAAAGAAATTTCACGAAATTTCATTCGATGAAATTTCTTTTAGCAACTCTGTTTGCATAGGAAAAGTTTGTTAAGCAATTTGTTCTGGGTTAACCCCCTCTTTTTCGTATTTCTCCTTGACTATACTTTCCCTCCTATAGTTTGAAATTATGAGGTTAAAAAATTTCCCTCTAGACCTACAGACCATTCAGTACAGACCTACAGGCCCTGGAGTCCAAGTTACCGCCAGTATGGTTCGAAAAAAGTCCATTGTGTGGAAATACTTTTCCTTGAGTGTAAAAAATGGAACCCTGTGCAAGCTTTGTTCCACCACCCTGTCATGTCCGCGAAAACCCGTTACAATATAATGAAAAATCGGAGCAATGATCAGAAAGATTCGAATATTCGCTTTGAAGTATTCAAAATCACAAAATTCGACTTCTCAAATAATCGCGACAATTGCAATCAAAGAGTTTTGAATATTCAAACAATCGCATTTGAATTTGATAATCGTCCATCCTTAACGAAGCCACTATATTGCACTACCACAGAAGTGAAGTGAAGCAGCTTCAAACAAAGCAGCGTTAGTGCACCATAGCAATGTTTCTTAAGTGTCAGCATCCATTGGGAAGGCCTTGTCTCAACAGGACATTTTCATGAGATTTGTCTCAAGTTATTGTTGCCGGAATGAAACCTCTAGGCTTTTTCCTCTATAACAAAATGACAACATTTTTTCTTCTCCTAGAGTTACTCTCAAGACTCCATCAGGACTTTACTTGGTAGGTACTATAATTAGTATTGACTAACTCAATATTTTCCCCAACTTTGCAAATGTTGTCATGACTACTTAAATGTCACATGTTACTCTATTGTCATATCTTGTAAACATTTTTTCTTGTAAATAAAGAGAAATGAAAGTGAGATTTTCCCCTCAAACGAATCTACCATATGTCCTGTAAAGACAAGGCCCTACATTACGATATGCAGAAAGGGAGGATAGTAAAATCCTTCTTACTTGATGAGGAACGAGGAGAGTGAAGGAATTTTTCATCTAAGTCTAAAAGCTGGGACGCCGCTCTTCGCATGAGGATTAGGTGAGAAAGGGCATTCCGCCACTTCTGCGCTTCACGCATGTTATCTTCAAATCTGTCGTAAGATCGAAATCTCAATGTGATAGTCATCCGCTCACGTTTTTTCCCTGATTTCATCTTGAAATTCTTTAGGATGTAAGCATAGATATAAAGGTAGGCACTAATATCATTTTCATCACCATCAAGTGAATTTAAATCCACTACCTGCGGATCACTTTTAAAATTAGAGGTTGGTCCACAAACGCAATTATCACTGGCGCGGCGCTTGCTTCTCATACATCGACTCCCAATGATATCATCCAATAATACAATTTCAGATGTTAGTAGACCATTTCGCTCTTTCTGCAAGCAAATTCCAACCTTCAATAACTTAACCTTATACACACAATTTTTCTTTGACAATATGTAGAAGGTTTCTTCAAGAATAGGGTTCATGGGACTTTCGTCGTCGTTTACAGCCATAATTCAGTGAGGAGTGTAATGAAGAGCAAATTGAACTATGTGAATGAAAATGCACTAGCACCAGAACATAAGATTTTGGTTCTGATAGCATAGAATAATAGAGCTAACGCCTATAGAAGAGTCACTCGCGTAAGTGGCCGTTGTGACTCTCATGTTTTGTAAGTGTAAAAGTCATCGTCACAGAGTAAAAGAGTTTGAGTATCAAAATTAATGTAACGGAAACGATTTCCACAGCTTCGTCGTGCTCATGCTGGCCAGATGACTGATAAAATCAGATGTGATCAGCTACAGTTAGAGTGTTACAATTGGCTATTGCCACCATTTTCATTCTGAATGTAAACAATACCCGCCAGCTCCAGCTCAAGAGCTCCAGGTCCCTGTTCTTCTTCTTCGTCATGAAATCTGCGAGAGTGTCCTTTCTAGAGTCCCTTTATACTGAGAGTCAAGACAATTTGAATCCATTTCTGATTGGTTCCCGTATTTTAGGCCTCCACAGTGTCACAAACGGGAATAAAGATTACATTTTCACCAATTGCAAAGATTATAATCTGGAATGGACCA